GGGATAGTTCACCCAAAAATGAAAATTACCCCATGATTTACTCACCCTCAAGCCATCTTAGGTGTGTGTATATGACATTCTTCTTTCAGACGAATACATTCGGAGTTATATTAAATAATGTCCAGGCTAATCTATGCTTTATAATGGGAGTGGATGGTAGCCCACAATTTGAAGTCCAAAAAATTGCACCCATCCATTATAAAAGAAGTCCACACGGCTCCGGGGGGTTAATAAAGGCCTTCTGAAGCGGCGCGATGCGTTTGTGTAAGAAGAATATCCATATTTACAACTTTATAAACCTTAATCTCTAGCTTCCGCTAACTGTCGTATGCGTTCACGAGAGAGTGGCGTCCAGCAGATGACACATAGGCAAACGCGGTGACGAACGTGGAAGCACAAAGGAGAGAACAAAACAAAACAGGTCACAAATTAGTAATACAAAATGAGGATCTGTAAAGAAAATTGTCTGAAGATTTCGATATAAGCCAAGAGGACACTGGTTTTCCTTTGCTGTAAACTACATTTGTTTCTCGCGAGACTCGCATATTTTCACCGGAGCTTATGCTACGCCTACGTCATCCGCTGGACGCCACTCTCTCGTGAACGTGCATACGACAGTTAGCGGAAGCTAGAGATTAAGGTTTATAAAGTTGTAAATATGGATATTTTTCTTACACAAACGTATCGCGTTGCTTCAGAGGGCCTTTATTAAAGGCACAATATGTAAAAAAATTTTATTAAAATATCCAAAAACCACTAGAAGAGTGTTATATATTTTGCTGACTTGTGTACTTACATTATCCCAAATGTTTCGAAGAATGTTTAAATCCAGAGAAATAAACCATTTTGTGTGTCTATAGTGTCATTGTGTCGCCTGCCAATGACATCATAACCCCTCGATTTCCGGTTTTGTTTTGTAGAAAACATGGAAACACCAAAGACGCTTTAATATGTTGTGCGTTTTAATAGACCGGTGACGACCGCACAGAGTAGCATTATAACAGAACTTTCAAACGTATCTAGTATGATAAAACAGCGCTGCTTTACCCCACATACACACGACCGGAAGCAGCGGAAGCGGTCGACTGTGGCATAATAAAAGCTCCGCTGCTTTCGAGCCGTGTGTCGCGCTCGTTCAGTGCCTCGTTTCGCTTCGACGGCTTTCAGCCTCACCCTGCTTCATTCTACTACGTTAATAAATCATTAGCTCATCCATGAACTGGATGTATAATGTTCAGTTTTGGGTGAACTATCCCTTTAATGAATAAAATTCATGTAGCAAAACTACTGTAATCAGATTCCATGAACAAATGACTCCCAGCCGGTTCCTATTAATGAATCAAAATGATTCAAAGTATTTGAATGCATTCAAACCCATTTTCCTTGAAAACTGAGTGAATCCCAAAAAAATTTTGAGAAATTGACGTTTTTTGGCATATACATAGCCTATATATATATATATATATATATATATATATATATAAATATATATATATATATATCACCCACATTATCACATACATAGCCTATATATATATATATATATATATATATATAAACACATACTCCAATATCATTTCTGAATCAGTGCTCAGCTAATATGAAATTATGGAGCGTGATACAGCAGTGAACCTGAAGAGCTGAGTGTGCAGTAAAGGCAGGCCAAAACACTGGGGTTTCGTCAAAAGTGCCTCCAGAGGTAGAAAAATAAGAGGTTGGTGCATCTGAAGAGGCTTATATAAACCCTTTGATCCGAGCCCATATGTTCAGCGATCTCACACATGACTGAATCTGACATGAAACTGTATTCACAATGTTCACTTTGAGAGTTTGACTCATGAGAGCTACTTATATAAAGCTGTGAGTGCATGCAGGGCTGCTTCAAATAATAAATATTAGTATATCAAAGTGAGGGGGAAGAATATTTTACCATATTAATCACACTGGTCTGTCTGTAGTACTTTCTGAAGCATCTTTAACTAGCCTACACTTTAAATGAATCAGTCATTCAAGTCTCCTATAGTTATGTCCAATCAGGGCAGGGCCGGCGCCAAGGGGGGCATTTGTGGGCCTTGGCCCCTCAAACGAGTTACTGTGCCCCCCATTCCCCTCCTTGCTGAATGTGATAAATTTTGAAAGTGACTGCACACGATCGCCAGCTCTGCATCAGGGTCTTGTCAAGGTCAAATTTCTTGCCTAAAGCCTTATTCTATAATTATACTACTGTAACAATTTTTCTTTTCATTTTGAACGATCAATGTTTATTTGACACCTACAGCACCTTCACAAGAGTCCTGTCAGTAGAAATAAGAGCAAATGAATGAATGTGTATGTATCATATCATATGTGGAGGTGTATATATCTTTTTTATTAATTTGAATGATTAAATGATTGCTATACCACATTTCCTTTACACTCTCCAATACTGCAGTGCCCTCTAGAGGTACAAGATGAAGAGAAAAATAGCGGCATAATATTAAAACAAGTTTTGTAGGACTCTGTCGCCACCTACTGCATGAGAATGGAAATGCAACTAGCGGTACATCTTTCAATTGATTTATAGTGGGCAAGCGTTAATATGAAACATTTTGATAATATATGTAAATAAATAAATAAAAAACACAACTTAGCTTGGTAAATAGTTTATATATGACTGTATCTTTTTATCTGTGCAAATACAGCATAAAAAACACTTATGGTAACATTTCAAAACATTAAAGCGAGTCTGCGCCATTAAGACATGTAGTGAGAATGTTCATCTACAATTTTACAAATTAAAAAACAGCAACAACAATAACAACAACAACAAAGAGACACTCATCCTCATTCTCCCCTGACATTTCATCACTCACAATGAAGGCTGCCCTCCGCTCCCGATCCAAATTCACAGTTGGCCATAATACTGATTCTTTTAATGGTGCTTGTCCCTTTATTCAAAATATCAAACATTTAATGCAGTATTTAAAAGAAAAAAAAGGATACATTTGTATTTACACAAGCTTATCGAATTTACTGTATATATCTTTTATATATATTTCTTTACATTTATTAAATGCTCACTGCCTTGAACCAGATGCACTCCAACAGAATCCCAATCCAATTCATAGAGTCTGTTCATTGCTCCACAATCCATCATCCCATAACAGGGTTTTCACAGGTGAGTGGAGCCACGTGTAAAAGCACGCATGCATTATATAACGCACACGTGCTGGACATCTTGTACAAAAAGTGACTCTAAACCACTATACAGCTTCCAAATTACCTGCAAATACAAATGTATATTAAAAAAAAAATCTAAAACAATAATAATCAAACAAGGCGTTCAGTACCAGTACATATATAGCGCTTGCAGCACAAGAGACTTCATACATTCAGCATGGGGGTGGGAGAGACAGGCACTCTATGGGGCAGCTATGCTTTTATTCTTTCCCTCTCCTGCACAACCATTCACACAACTCTCTCCAAATCCACCAGAAAGACGTCCTGATACCCTGTATGTGAACAAAGGGCCAATAACAAGATCTGTTAGTGATGGGAGAAACAAAGCCTTTTGAAGCTTGGAATCAACTGAATCAATTGCTTCGTAAAATGATTTACTGGTTCAACGTGCTGGAAACACCACAGGCTGGCGGCACCTACTGGTCAAAATACATACATGCAAAAAAACGTAGCCCAAACATGCATAATGACACCTTTTACAAACCAACTGCAAATGTTTTCATGTAAGTGTAATCTATTAAATGTAAAAAATCTACAAATGTGACCATGGACCACAAAACCAGTCATAAGGGTCAATTTTTTGAAATTGAGATTTATATATCATCTGAGAGCTGAATAAATAAGCTTTCGATTGATGTACAGTTTAATATTTGGCCGAGATACAACTATTTGAAAAGCTGGAATCTTGAGGGTGCAAAAAAAAATCAAAATACTGAGAAAATCACCTTTAATCTAATCTTCATAAAATTAAGTTTTGATATATTTACTGTAGGAAATTTACAAAATATCTTCATTGAACATGATCTTTACTTAATATCCTAATGATTTTTGGCATAAAAGAAAAATCGATAATTTTGACCCATACAATGTTTTTTTGGCTATTGCTACAAATATACCCCAGCGACTTAAGACCAGGGTCCAGGGTCACAAATAATTAAATATGAAGGTACATTCAAATTTGTGTTTTATACATTTTTAATCCATGTTTTTAAACTAGGTCAATTAGAAGCAATTAAGTATCATTTTTCTTATTGTATTATACACACAAAAAGTATTAAAGCTCCTTAAATTAAATACAAATTAAACTCCATTATAAAACTAACCCGAGATCAGTTAAAAACCATTTACAGTTTCACTAGATCAACAGCATCTGAATTTTTACGTTTTGAAATCAAGGTTTGAAAAGACTCGTTTGATGAATCACATGACTTGGCGAGTTTGATACAAGCTCCGAACCAGTGATTCGAAACAAAAGATTCGTAAATGTTACCAAGCTTCCTGAAGGATTGTTTCGAAAGCGCCCAAATTGAAAGGGAGTAGAAAAAAGTCCATCGTCAATATAGTAGCAATGTATGAAGCACAGCTCACACAGAAGCCACTTTCAAACCAAGCAGCTTTCTCTTGGCAGGTGTGGAAATTCATGTGAGCAACCGTTTCCTCCTCACGAAACTTCCAGTCTTGTGGATTACTATCAGAATGACTGGATTTTGTGAACAAGGGTAAATGTGACATGACCTATAGCCCTGCATGAGTTAAAGGGACAGTTCACCCAAAAATGAAAAGCTAAGTCTCTGTCTTCTATTCAACATAAAAGAAGATAATCTGAGGAATGTTGGTTATCAAATAGCTGCCGGTAGCCACTGACTTACATACTATGTTTTTCTATACTATGAAGTCAATGGCTACCGCAACTGAAAATGTTTGTTTACCAACATTCTTCAAAATATCTTCTTTTGTGCTCAACAGAAAAAGAAACTCATACAGGTTTAGAACAACATGAGGATGAGTAAATGATGACAGAATTTCATTTTAGAGAGAACTATCCCTTTAAAATACCGATGCATCTGGAACGTCTCGCTTTCGACGTCTCATTTAACACACGTGCTAGTTTTTTCTGTTGGAAAACGCCTCATGCACACATAAACCAACTAAACTATGCTGGACAGTCAAGCACACTTAGCTTGTAGCAGAGAACCCGTTCCATAGTTAATCAAAGGCTCATGAGCTGCAGACAAACAAACCCTAGACTACACGCACACTGACTTTTGGTATCTTAAAAAAAAAAAAAAAAACGAAATCGATGCATGGTCCCTATAATTACGCTTCTATGGCCTGATTAAGGTAAAGAAATGCCCTAGGCTGGCTGCCTGCCATAAATATAAATCTTTTTTTTGTTATCTAAAAAAAAACGACAAAAGATTTCCGCACACACATCTGAAACTCCCAGATCCGAATCCCCCAAAGATTTTGATTGGCTAAACGAAAGCAAAATAACAGGTGAATGTGTAACAAGTTCTTGTCACTTCACACACGCCATATCAAAACCAGCTGCTTTCACGTGGGAGTGTGACTGTCGTAAAGTACTTCGTAATGACGCTGACGCTCGGATACTTTAGTAAAATGGGCACAAACTGTCTGGCAGCCGAGATCGAAAAAAGGCAGAATAGTTTCTTGGTTTGTGGTTTGAATTTTCATTTCCGTTCCCTTTTTGTTGTGGTTATTTTTCTGAATATTCTATTATGGCACAAAGACATAAAAAGCGCGAGAGCCGTTCTCCCTCTCGCCTCGTTCCCAACCCCCCGCCGCCTCCGTCCCGTCTCTCAGCCGTCGTCGGGAGTGCTCGACTCTTCGGGGAACTCGTCGGATGAGCCGCTCTTGTGGATGCGTCCGTCGCTGCGCATGCTGTGGAAGGTTTTCTTAAAGGCTTCCATCATGGAGTGCGCCAGTTTTTTGGCCTCTAGTTTACTCTCGCACTCCACGGCGTGGCAGTCCATCTGGAAGGTCAGATCGTCGTTGATTTGCCGGTAGATCCATGCGAACACGTTCGGGCTGACGTCGTGATCCGCCGTGCAGTACGCGATGCGAGCCACCTGGAAGGTGTCCATGGTGACCGTGGCATCGCCCCGCCCATCCAGGTGATGCAGTCGTACCTGGAACGGCCGGATTTCCAGTATGGTGTTAGTAGAAGTGATGGAGTCGTCGTGGGTGACAGACGTCCGCTTTGTGTCCCATAATCCCACCACAGCTGACTCGGTGCAGCCGGACAGGAAATGAGTGCCGGAAATCGTCACTTTGCCAAGGTAGGTCACCTAGTAAAAGGGAAACACACAAAAGAAAAAGTGAAACAATGATTTGTGTACAGATTCAGACAAATGCCCACATGCACAAAGAAAGATTCTCACACTTTAGTTTGTGGACCAATTCTCACTGTTAACTAGTGCTGGGCGGTATACCGGTTCATACCGAATACCGGTGTTTATTTTTGTAATTTTTTTACTTTGTTGACAAAAAAGTAATATAGCCAAAACAACCGCATAGTCGCTCTTTAGTGTAGATGCATGTTGATTTTATCAGACGATGCCGCGCTTATAAATGAGAGTGACTCCTGGTTAACATGTATTAAAAGGGGTCGTGTTTAGTCACTATTTAGTGTGGTCGGTGCAGCCGGACAGGAAATGAGTGCCGGAAATCGTCACTTTGCCAAGGTAGGTCACCTAGTAAAAGGGAAACACACAAAAGAAAAAGTGAAACAATGATTTGTGTACAGATTCAGACAAATGCCCACATGCACAAAGAAAGATTCTCACACTTTAGTTTGTGGACCAATTCTCACTGTTAACTAGTGCTGGGCGGTATACCGGTTCATACCGAATACCGGTGTTTATTTTTGTTATTTTTTTACTTTGTTGACAAAAAAGTAATATAGCCAAAACAACGGCATAGTCGCTCTTTAGTGTAGATGCATGTTGATTTTATCAGACGGTGCCGCGATTATAAATGAGAGTGACTCCTGGTTAACATATTAAAAGGGGTCGTGTTTAGTCATTATTCAGTGTGGTATTTTTTGACAATATACACGCATCATGACAGTAAAATAGGGCATTCTAAGTCAATATACTGCAGTATTTCCTCTCTCAATCAGTAGAAAATATGGTTAACACCCGGTCATGCATGAAAAAAAAAATACCGTCATGTACCGTGAAACCGGTATAATTTTGAAAAATACAGTGATATAAATTTTTGGTCATACCGCCCAGCACTACTGTTAACTAACTACCACTTCTGCCTCAATAATCTGCTAATTTGCTGCTTATTAATAGTAAGTAAGGTAGTTGTTAAGTTTTGGTATGATTAAGGGATCTAAAGAATAAGGCTTTGGAAGTACTAATAAACAGCCAATAATCAAGTAATATGCATGATAATAAGCAACTAGTTAATAGTGAGAATTGGTTCCCTAAACTAAAATGTTACCAAATATTTATTTGTTTTAATTCAATATTCTGAAAACAATGTACATTTCGGCTTTACTGATTACTGAACATGTTCATATATTTTGTTATACTGAGAATATGTTTACCGGTTTTGTTTTGTCTATCATTTTTTTAATGACTGTAAATGTTATATTTTTGCTAGTATTGATTTTCACATATTTATATAGACAAACAGTATGGATATGATAGAAGTACATTTACATAAGCATTTTCAGCTCCGTAATCATTTGTAAATTAGCTACTTTTTTTAACTCAAATAAATCACAGTAGCTATTTTTGGAATCGCAATAATAATGCAAAAAATTAAAACATGAAATTAGGTCCTAATTGTTTGGATCAATTAATTGTCAAAAAGAAAAAGAGTAAAAAATGTGGGAAAAAATAAATAAATAATAATAATTATATATATATATAAAAATTTTTCTTCACATTTTTTACTCTTTTTCTTTTTAAAATAGAATATTTTAAAATAGAAAACAGTTCTTATATATATATATATATATAGAACATTTTCAGCGGTCATTACTCCGGTCTTCAATGTCACATTTTTAAAAAATAATAATAAAGATTTTACACACATTCAAGGTTTAAAGAAAACATTTTGTGACTTGTTACTTAATGGTTACGCTACTTCACATGGTCTACAATCATAACCTTTGGTTGAAAATGGTGTACAAAAAAACAACAAGAATACATAAGTCATTTCCATGAATGTGTATTTTATACTAAGTTTTTTTTGTCCTTTCATCATTTTTATGTATCATTGGTCCATAGCTGTTGTTCCTCAGAGAAAAACAAAAGATTTCAGAGAAAATGAGTAGTTGTGAATACCTGCTCTTGCTGTGTTTGAATGTGTGCTTTTGGCAAAGTTTGGAAAGAAAATGCGAAACTACAGAAGAAAAAAAACTATGTCTGGCTGTCTGTTTTCCTCTTCCAGACGATTTGTTTAGTCTGCAACCACAAGACCTAATTCTGGCCACGGTCTCTCCTTCCCATTTCTTGAACACGTTTAGAGAATACAATGAAACAAAATCGTTTTTTTTATTGCTTTACAAACTGTGAAACTCTGAAGACAAGCAAGGGGTCGAACATCTGTGCTATACTTGCTAAGAGAATTTCATAGCAGAATGCAAAGTCATCCCTCTTATGAACACGACTCTCTCCAGATGCGTTTTGTTTTTCTTAATCTCATTCTTTCTCTTGTGTCTGAACAGAAAGATGAGGCTTTCCTGCGTGCCGGGAGAGGAAATGCCAGTAATATCTCTTCTCTTCTGAAAGCCATCTACATCAGAGAGAATGAGAGCGAGAGGATGAGTGTTCTCTTCTGGAAGAAGTGCTGGAAAACATTTGACCTGAAAGAAGCCCCTCACTACACTATGACTAACAGATGAGGCAGTGAGCGAGGATGTGCGTTTCCTAACACCTGATGGATAGCATTACGCCTTATTATCATAAACCAACACAATCGTCACAACAAGAAAAAATGCAAAGCACTGTTATTTAAAAATGCTGTTCAAACGTTTGGGGTCAGTAAGAAATTAATCCTTTTATTCAGCATGGACGCATTGAAATTGATCAGAAGTGACAGAAAAGACATTTATAATCTTACAAAACAATTCTATTTGAAAGAAATGCTGTTCTTTTGAACTTTCTATTCATCAAAAAATCCTGGAAAAATGTATCCACAAAAATAAGAAGCAGCACATCTGTTTTCAACATTGATAATAATCAGAAATGTTTCTCCAGCAGCAGATCAGCATATTAGAATGATTTCTGAAAGATCACGTGACACTGAAGACTGGAGTAATGATGCTGAAAATACAGCTTTGGTCACAGGAATAAATTACATTTTACAGGATATTCAAATAGAAAACAGCTATTTTAAATTGTAATACTATTTTACATTTTTTACAGTTTTTTTTATTCAATAAATGCAACCATGGTGAGATTTAAAAAAAGAAAAAAATTTTTTTTTAAATCTTACCAACCACAAACTTCTGAACAGTAGTGTATATTAAACACACATGCATACAGATGCACAAAAGTTTTGGCCAGCAAAATGATTTGCCCCAAAATGCATCAAAATGGCTCCAAACTCCCCCCCAAAAATCTCATTCAAAAATATGACGTGAAAACACAAAGTTTAACAGATCAGATAACAAATATTTAAATGTAAAGCAACTATATTTGACAAAAGATTTTGAAGAAATATTTTGTTCTTTTCTTTGGAATAATTCACCAATGAACTGTTCACAGTAAAACCACTAAGTAGTATTTTTTTATTAAATAAAACCAAAATAAAATCAAAATGATGAACTTTTCAAAACTACATTATTCCTGATCCTCACTCTTTCGTCAAGTCATCCCTCAAGTATTTGATGTGTATTTCCCTCAGTGCCGAGATGACAGATTACAGTCTTTCTGAGAAAGTGTGTTTGTTCACATGAACCTCATGATATCTGTTCCTGAGTGTGTGTGTGTGTTTGTATATATATCTCAGGTGGAAACTGAGAAATCATCAAACACTGAGACAGATTGATGCCTCTCAGTCACCACAGAGTCTAGACAGCAACAGAGCGCTCATTCATCTCTCCGTTCTCTTACCTCCACAGGCAACTGAGAGCCTTCCAACAATAAAGCTGCTCTTCCAGATCTCTGATGCACAAAGTGAGTGAGCACAAATATTGTGCAATTCATTAATCTGTCATTAATATGGCGTCCTAGGATTGTAAATCATCTAAACTTACTTGTAAAACAAAGATGTAGTATTTCCACACAGTGCAAGCACATACACACAAAGTACATGGAGAAAAAATGTTGTTTGTGCAACACTCTTATGCAGCATGTGGTCACAATTACTCACTGTGTGATTCATTTTATACCAAGGGCTGGGTGTTATAGCCAACAATATCTGTATCACAATATTTTTCAGACTTTTGGTAAAAATTCTCATGGTTTATGTATTTATTATGATTTTTTTCATAGGAACTACTGTTTCAAACTGAGATCTAAATATATACAAAGCAATATTTATCTACTTGGTTTTTATGACGCTGTAATTTTGTGTGCAAATTTTAAAATTGTAATTAATTTTTTTAAATATTATATTTACAGTAGTATTTTCAAATTTACAGACAAATAAACAGTTAAATCACAATACAATAATACATACAACTGTATAAAATTACATTTATGCCTTGAATAAAACTTTTTTCTAATGAAATCCAAGGTTATAAACTCTCTTTGGACAACTTAATGGCTACATTAAAAGTACATTAAAATCATGACGCATGATTTACAATGTTGCAAATATATTTAATACATCACCCAGCCCTACTTTGTGTCTACCAGTTAATTAACAGCATATATAAATCAGTCAAAAAACAACAAATATTTCCAGTACACACTCCTTGAAACTCTACAGGTTGCTCTGCTCGTGACTCATGTGTCCAGCAGGTGGCAGCATGACGAATGACAATCTATCTGGTGCTCAAGACTCTCCATGCATAATTCAGAAAAAAAAGGAATTCTTCACCAGCTCAGCATTCCAGAGCGGGACGTTAATGATTCCAGAATGAGAGGCGCATGTGTCCCCCCGACACAGCTGTACGATGAGGGTATGTATACTCTCACGTGTGTGTATGTTAAAGTGTGTGTTTGTGTGCCTAAGCCAGACAAAGTTTGTTCTGAGGGAAATGATGACTATATTTGGTCTGTGTGTGTGGGTCACTATGTTTGTTAACAGAATGTGTGTGTGTGTGTGTGTGTGTGTAAACAGCACACAGAACAGACTTTATACATGCGGAGCTCACAGAATG